GAGAGACTACCGGCAAAACCTGCGAAGGGTGTTTGAGCCAGACAGGGCATCCGCCTTGCCTCTCTCAAAGGGGGTCCAGAAGTAGCTCTCAGCAACCCCGCGCGCGCACCCCTGTTTGAGGGAGGCAGGGCAGATGCCCTGAGTCTCTCAAGGGGGTCCGGCAAGTTTGCAGCCTTTTCCTGAAGTAACAAAATTAAATCTTTGCGATCGTGCGCGTGCGCCTGTGTATCGTGCGCGCCTGTTTTTCTTCACATCGTGCGCGGGCACCTGTGTATTGCGCGCGCCGGTCCGTCTCAGACACAGGTGCGCGCGCACGATGCACAGAAAAGCATGCGCGCACGATGCAATCTACTACGAATAGAGAAGCCAGCGCGCACGATACACAAGCGTGCGCGCACGATGCGCAGACCTCAGTGGGCACGATTCGTGCGTACGATCAGTGTATGTATTGAGTATTTTACACTTACTAACTAGTAGTGCATCAAAGTGCTTTTGTTTGCTGTAGAGTATGTACAGATGATTGAGAGGTCGTGTCTTAAAATATCTAAAAATGCAGGGTTTTTCACCCTCGAACTACCAAAAATGTAGGTTTTTGGACCTTTTTGGGGTTCTGATTTTTGCGGGGTTATTCACCCCTGGGTCCACGGAAGGCTCAAAAATGTGGATTTGTTGATCTGGACAACGCCAGGTACAGGTGTCTTCCCCCACATAAAAAGATATGCGTTTGTGCCCAACTTGTGGATTGCACAAAAATATGAACTGTTTTTTGACAGTTCACTAATTAACAGACAGAATTCTTCCCAAATCTGGCACCCTTAAAGGGGGCGAGATGGCAACCCCTCAATCGTGCAAAAATCTACCAAACATGTAGGTGTTTTTGGACCTTTTTGGGGTTCTGATTTTTGCGGGGTTATTCACCCCTGCACCACCGAAGCCTCAAAAATGTAAATTTCTTGATCTGGGCAACGCCAGGCTCAGGGGTCTTTCCCAAATCAAAAGATATGCGTTTGTGCCCAACTTGTGGATTGCACCAAAATATGAACTGTTGTGACAGTTCACTACCAATCACTACCAGACAGAATTCTTTCCAAATCTGGCACCCTCACAGGGGTGCCAGATGGCAAACCCTCAAGCATGCCAAAAAAGGTGTTTGACCTTTTTGGGGTTAAGATGGCCATGTTTTCTACAATGATTGTACGAATGACCCATGTCAATCAATGACAACTGCCCCGCGATGATGTATGTATGCGCGGGCTGTGCCCTTCACATGGCACGCAATGATGAAAATTCAGGGGTTCATGAACATACAAGTTGGTTCTAAGAATAGGGTTCGCGTACTGTGAATAGTTGCCTCAGTGAAGGGTCTTCGGCTCCATTCTTGGCCAACCGCTTCAACGTCAAATTTGTTCAATCATCTATACCAAACAGTTGTTCAATCATCCTCAAACCAGTTGATGGTAAGTAAGCATGTGTTTACAAACATCTGATTTTCTTCTAAAGAAATGGCATAAAAAATGGCATGGTGCTGCGGATGCAATTACTTCTTGAGCTGAACATCAGGATGTACATCCCCTGGTATTGCAAACTCCACTTCAATGTCTTGGATTGAAAGTGATTTCGTTGTTGTTCCCACTGCCATCAAGTTTGGTTGTGTTCGAAACTGACTGTATCAATAAGATGAGTGCTGAAAAGGCGCTAACGAATGATGTTACATGTTCCATGACGGTAGTCCCATGGTGTCCTCAAAAATAATTGCTGGTTCCATGATGTTCCATGCACTGGCGCTTCCGCAGCACCAAGTGCTGGCGCTTATACAGCGCCAAGATGGCGCTTACCCAGCACCATGTGCTGGCGCTTGTGCAGCACCAAGCGATGACGCTTACCCAGCACCATCAGCTCGCGTTTACACAGCACCAATTCGGGTGGCAAAGCCATTCCTACCCAAAAATGATGAACAAAGATCCCAGTTGTTTGTCCGCCCTGCCCCCCCCCACCACCCTAATGCAGCCTTGTGGCAATGGCGCGCGCGGGACCCGACCGGCGGAGAAATCATGGTGGATTTGCATCAGCATTTCAAGTTCTGATGTTGAATTCATTTGTCTTATGACGCATGTTGGTTTGAATCTGAACAAGTGAAAATGAAATCGTGGAAAATCAAGTGGAGCAGGTGCGAATTGATTGAAAGTTGCCAGGCGTTGCGGGAAAAACTGCAGGAAACTGGACGTTCAACGTGTAAGCTTGGCTTAGGCAAAGCAACTGGCTTTAAAAATGATTGTTTTTTGCAAACTTAAATGTTCAATATATTTTTTGTGTCAAAACTTGAGAAGCCAAACAAAAAGGGATAACATGGTTTGACATAGTCCAACATGGGCATTTCGTGAAGAACTGCTGAGACCAGTGCAGCTTATGCGCTGGAGCATTGCAGCTAAGGCATCAAGCCAGCCAAAGCCAAAAGTACAAAAAAGAATGCTGAAGCCAAGGCAGTTCCTTCCCCAATACTTCCAAAGACCAAGTTTTCTGCGATCGCCGAAGTAAAGTCAGAACCAACCGGTTTTATTTGGTCGCCTAAGTAAGGTCAGAACCTACCTGTGTTAAGGGTGCAACCCGTTTTACTCTTGAGCATTGGGCAGTGCAGCGGTTGAATTAGGTCAGATTATAGTGCGCGCATCAGTCACTCCGAACTAAGGAAAGGGGCGGCGTTCTTCACATTCACATTGATGTTCAAACCTGTAACTGGCCAACATCATTGAATTGTGGCTTGAGATGGAGTTGGCGGCCATGAACATCACAAATATACGGACCAAGTAAAGAATGGTTGTTCAGTAGGTTTTCACTGGGTGGGGTTCTCAAGCATTCACGGTACTCAGTGTTTATGGGGTTCTTGCGGTGTTCGCGCGGAGTTTTTACGGGGTTGCACAGGGTCTTCACGGTATTCAGCGTGGCGCTCGCTGTGTTTCACTGGTTCCACCCTCCACTTGAATATAATTACTTTTATGGTGTAAACATGTTATTTAGGGGGTGTGAAATTCATACCCCGAAATTTGGGTATGAAACTCTTGCCCTAAAACTGAGGAGCGGTTCCTAAATGCGGGGTATACTAAAGTAGGGGGTGGAGGGGGCCACACAAACCCTCCTTTTCGGCGGTTAAAAGGGGGGCACTTTGGTTTCCTTTCTGGAGAGGGTTGGTGACGGAGGGGGCGAAGGGGGACGCTCTATATGTGTATATGTATAGACTATATATATATATATATTTAAAGGCCGGTGTTTGGCAGCTTGAGCAACAATGGGCCGCCAGTAAAACATAGGCTTTGAGTAAAACATGGTCGGGGCCAAGTTTTACTAGTAAACAGCTCCGACCATGGGTTCACTGGAGCAGTGCAGCTTTTGGAGGCATCAAGCCAGCCGAAAACCAAAAGCGCAAAAGCACATACCAAAGCACCGGCCAGTAGGGTGCAATCAGGGTGCAAAAGGGTGCAATCCAAAAATCGTGCAAAAACACGAAAAAACGGGCACAGTTGGGCGAGCCAGTATCAAACGTGGGTTGGGCGAGCCAGTATCGAGCGCGGGTTGGCGGACCAGTATCAAGCCCCCAGCGGGTTGGGCGGACCAGTATCAAGCCCAACCCGTGGGGTGTCAAAATCTCAAAAAAAACTTACTGTCGTTCAACTTCGTTTTTGACGGCAGATGACAGTGCCAAAAAAACTGGCAAAATCTTCACATTGTTCGACGCCGGCGCCGTCCCAACCCGCCGAAGATTGCCCGGCCTCGGCACCGTCCCCGCTCGGGAGACACCCCTGGACCATCGGTGGCCCTCAAAGCCGGCTAATTTAGTACCCTGTTTGGAGGCCTCAAAGCGTTCAAAATCACTCAAAAACAAGCAAAAACGTGCAAAAAAATGTGGACTCAAGCCAAAACAAGCAAAAAACATGCAAAAACGAGCAAAACCCAACCAGCGGAAGGGTGCAATCAGGGTGCAATTAGGGTGCAATCAGGGTGCAATCAGGGTGCAAAAGGGCGCAACCCCAAAATCGTGCAAAAACAAGCAAAAACGGGCACAGTTGGGCGCGTGTCAAACGCGGGGTTGGGCGAGCCAGTATCAAGCCGGAACGGGTTGGGCGAGCCAGTAATCCTACATGCCCGCCCGGCACCGTGCCCGCTCCGCACGTCCTACCGTACAGTCAAAAAAAACCGCCCCCAGCGCCAGACCCGGACCCGTGCTTCCTCGCCAGGATGGTCCGGCCTCACACACTCGGCAAGCCTGACAGGTAAAAACTTCGGGGGTGAACCACATGCCGACTTAAAGCAAAAATCATGCAAAATCTTGCCATGCCAAATTCAAGCAAAATCATGCGTTGCGCAACGCACAGCATGATTCGGACGTAAGCTGACTGGCTCGGACATAAGCTGATTGGTTCGGACATAAGCTGACTGGTTCGGACATCCGCTGACTGGTTCGGACATAAGCTGGTTTGTTCGGACATAAACTGGATGGTGTTTGCAGCTCGATGAGGCGCTACTCCAAACCGCTCAATTGTTTCAAAACGCAAATCCAATATTTTGCTCCGGAACTGTATTTTCTAATTCCAAAAACACATGATGGACTCAACAATATGTTTCCAAGTAAAACTCTTGACATTCACACTGTATTGACGCAAAACATTCATCTATGTTCATCTTGATTTCTCTTTTTGCCACCTCTTCTTCATAGCGTATCTGTGTCTGCAAACTCTGTATTGTTGACGTGCAAAATTCGGAGTACACTTCATCCATCTTGCAGAAAAAGAGTTCACAGAACTCTGTGCTGGCTGTGCTGGGTGAAACTTGACTGCTTCAATCCGAGTGGGGTTGGACTGGTCTTACAACATCAATTGTTCTGCTCTTGCCATGCTCATGCTCAAGCAAAAGCATCGTCTGCCAACCACCCCTGCGAATGTGTATCGAAACGCGCTGTTCTGAGTGAAACTTGAAACTTGAAGTGCAAAGTGCAAGAAAGCATATTGCTATGGTACAAGATAGCCGTAAGGCGTCTCTTCCGTGGAAGGGCGCAATGCAGCGCTCATCTTCTTCTCCTCCTGCCACGTGCCTTCGGTGAGGTGGAAAATCCGCATCTGAACAGCATCGCACTGGACACGACTTGGGTTCTCCTCCTTGATGACCTTCTTCAGGAAGCCGATGTTCTCCGGCACAGGCTTGATTGGCAGGGCATTGCCCACCAGCTTGTACTCGCCGTTCTCCTCCTTCAACTCTCGCACCCAGACCATCTCTGTCTTCGCAGGCTGACCTTGGCTCTTGCAACTGACAACCCAGGCATTGAATGAAAAACCTGACATATCCCCTCAAAGAACGGACGAAACACCGGAAGACCGACAAAAAAAGGCGGTGCAAAGCAAGTGCAAAGGGCCCAAGAGTCCTGAAGCCTACTAAGAACAAAACATGACATCGTTCTACACAACTGATCAGCCCGCAACCAATCTCTTGGGAAGTCCAACTTTGCAAGGCTGGGACCGTGTGGCCGAGCTTCAAAAGCGTGACAAGCAAGGCAACGCGAGGCAAATCTCTGCACAAACCACTGATATTCCAACAGTCAAGGGAACTTAGCAGTACCTGAAGCCTTATGACAAGAATCCACGCAACCGACCTTCTCATAAAAGGGATCATCGGAATCAATGTTTTGGCCACTCGACTTGAGAGGAGGCACAAGAAATCAACATGAACTTCAATTGTTGCATGACGTTACCAGTCCTTCTCCAGCTGTGTGACCCAAACAGCTTTGCTCACAGCGGCAGTACCTTTCCAAGGCGCGCAAAGCCATTCAATCCAAAGCTGTGACAAAGCTTGAGCCAAGGCACTTTGAATCAGCTCACGCTCCAATTCCGCACGAACTTCTCCAGAGACAGCGCTGGTGAGCATGTGAAGAACGGCCCTGCGAACGCTTTCATTTGCGCCGCTCCTCATCACTTCGATGCGCAAGGATCGAGTGAATTCCTGAAGATCCCTTCGCAATGTTTTAGCGTCAGCTACCTCAAACATAGGTTCAGGAATGGATACTCGTTCATCCCTCGTAAGAATCATCTTGGCCGTTTCATTGATGGTTCTTCGCATCTTCCTCACGAACTCCTCAAGTGCCTCTGCTTTCGGGGGGTGAATCCCAGACGAAACACCCCCAAAATCATGCCAATAAAAGGCGTGATCATCTCTGCCGGGCTGTCGTTGCATCAGGATATTGCCAAGGTGACAATCATGCCACAGGTTGAGGTCTGCAAACGTGCTTAGGTCTTGCACGTAGCCTAGCAAGAATACCAGCAGCTCCCGCAATGACAGGCTTTCAAGATCTAGCGGCATGACCTTTTGCATGACTGACACGTGCACTGTGTGTGTGCTGTCCACCTTATGCCTGCTAAAGTCTTCATTCTCACTGTCCCAGGTATACAGAGGCACAGGCACACGCAAGCAAAACTCGCATGCCGCAGCAGGTGAGGCAACTGCGAAAGCATGCTGAGCTTGCCATACTGCTTGCTCTCGCCACCGCTGTTCCAGCTCAACCTCACGCCTTGCAATCCAACGACGGTAGGTCCGAGCATCATTCCCCAATCCGTGCAAGAGGGAGTTGGCCACGAACCTTGCCTCGTCCGTGGTGAAATGGCCGCGGCGGCCAGCTGTCCGCAAGCTTCTCAAAGCCTCCTCTCGTTTGAAGAAAAAGATATCCTCATCCTCTGCACGTTGGGGAAAGACGAGGAGGGGTTTGCTGCTGTTTGCAAGTTGAAAACTTGCTCTGACGACAATCTGGATATCTCCGTTGCAAAGGGCTGACGCTATGGTATTGCCGCTGCCTCCCCCGCCGTGACCATCAAACACACACTCGAAGTAGGACTGAAGGGTCTGGCAAGTGCCGTCGCGGCAATCCGCCCCACAAAGGGCGAGGGCAATGGCGACAAGAACTGGTCTCGACATTTGGCACGAAGTATAGTCGTATGACGGAATGTCGGAAAGTGCTTGTGGTGTCTGAAAGTTGACTTGAGCTTGAGCTGCAACGATCAAAATGTCTTTCCCAAAAGATGCTCCGTTTTACGACCTAAAAGACTCCACTTTGGGACAATCTGCCGATTTGCCCGAAATCTGCCACCGGCTTTGGGGAAATCCCCAGGAGATGCTGCAACCGATTTGGGCAAAATTGGCGCATATTTTGGGAAATCTGCCAGGGATTTAGGTGAGAGCTGTTTTTTGGGGGGAACAGTTGGCTTGGTTTTCGGAAGGAATTGCCCCGGTTTAAGCATGTCGGAACAAAAGTTTAAGTCCTATTGTTTTGAATACTGGAGAAACTCTTTGTTTGCACTCTTAGGGGTTGAAGGACTGTGTGTAAAAGAGGAAGCAAAGTTGGTGTCGGGGATGTACGGAGATGATGCATGCACAAACTGATATGCAAAGTTCCGATTGAGGGTGAAATTACTTAAACAAATATAAACATATACAAATAAGTAAATACGCATTATGCCTTCTTACTTGGTAAGAAACGGATTTGAAATGCTAATGACTGATGAAGCCTTTCACTTCCTTTGGAACAGGTTTGGAAACACAGAACTGATTGATAACGAAACGTCTTCTTCATCTGAAGGAGGTGATGCAACAACTTCATCTGTCGAAACGCCTCTGCAAACGCTCAATGGAGAAAGCAGGACAACGGACACTACAACAAGAAGCCGAACGACGTAAACTACTTCAAAAAGTATTACCAAGAAAAGACGAAACAACCTTGTGTGTGCGATGTATGCGGTTCTGACGTAAATTGCAAATCAAACTTGGCAAAGCACAAGAGAACGAAGAAGTGCCAAAGGTTCTTGGTGTAAGCTCATTTTGATTTTATGATACAAGAACATATGTCATAAAATTATAACCTAGAATTATTTCATGAATAGACTGGAGAAAGACAAGATCCTGGAAGATTTACTACGACGTGGACGAGGGTTTCGGTTCAGCGAGGGACTTGTACGAAAAGGCAAGGAAAATCGACGCGGGCATAATCGTAGACATGGTTTCTAAGTGGATGAGGGCACAGCCGAGCAAGCAAACAAGAAACTACAAGAATTACAATTCCTACACTGCAGCGTTTCCGAAGTCCGAATTCCAAATCGACTTGATGGATGTCAGTGAGATGTAGGTGTAGAGAAGGGAGATCAACCACAATTTCGTATGGTATGCATAGACATCTTCAGGAAGAAGCTTCAAGTAGTTCCAATGAAAACTAACGACGCTGTTACTGTTTACAATGCCCTGATGGAGCGCCTTAAGGTCTTGAGGACAGCCTTTGATGATTTACAGCGACGACGAGGGAGCATTGAATAGCAAGAAGAGCCAAGAGTTCTTCAAAGCAGAGGGTATCACACATATAGTAAGTAAAATTGACGTTAATCAAGCAGAAAGGGCGATCAGGACGGTGAAAAAGATGATCGCAAATAGATTGAGAAAGCACAAAGATAAGACATGGGTTCAGATGATGGAAGCATCAGTAAGATAGTACAACAGCGAAACACATAGCACAACAAAAATGTCACCGAGTACGGCTCACCATTGGATAGCGCGGTTCAAGTTAGATCAAATATTATATTGAACGAAAAACATAACCGCAAGAATCCAAGGTGATTATGCTAGGGCATTTGATAAAGGTAAAGGTAATCATGTTTCAAGAAAGGAGACGCTGAGACAGGAGGTGGTTTCGAGGCGAACGTTTTCAGCGGCGGGAATGGTCTTCAAGGTGCTGACGATGTACCAGCCAGGGGGCCGGCGGAAAGGCAGAGCCTCCTCAACTACCTGCTGGAGCTGAAGGTGAATGGGAACACGGTGCCGGCGGAGGTTTTGGCGGCGGTGCGGCAATGGCGGAGGTGGTACATTCGTGCCATGGAACTGAAGCTGGCGATGCTGGATCCCTCGCTGTTGCTGAGGGCGCTGGATGGCATGACCAACGGGATCGCCAAGGAGGGAAGCCAGGTCCACTTCAGGTTGAGCTTGTTGAGAAACAGCCTGGAGGTGGACGTCACACCGACGCAGAATGGCATCATCCAGCATCCAGGCAGAAGTGGAGGTGATGGTGGCCTCAAAGACGGACGAGAAAGTGGTGAAGGTTTGGAGCATGAAGCCCAGTCAGGGCAGCGCAAAGAAGGCGAAAAGAAGCCCTGTGTGTACTTTGCAGGGGAAGGATGCCGGATGGGCCGGAACTGCAACTACAGCCATGACTGGTCGTTGGTGGATAAGAAGGCGGATCTGTGCTGGATCTGTGGGTCGCTACAGCACCGAAAGGGGGAATGCCCGGTGAAGCACGAGGCGGCCGGCAAGGCAGGTTTCAGACAGGCGCAAGGTGAGCAGCAGCAGCAGAATAAATCGCAGCCGATCAAGCCGAAGGTTGCAGCGGAGAAGGGGGTAGCAGAGGACCCAAAGGAAGGATCTGACGGCAAGGTCAGAACGTCCAGGAGCTGCTGACGGAAGCGACGGGGCTGCTAAAGTCTCTGAGCATTGTCAAGGTCATCAGGGTCCGGTCAGTGAAACTGGAAGAGGAGTTCTACGGTCTGCTGGATGGAGGAGCTACTCACGCTCTTCGGCAAGCCAGAGAGGGTGAACTCAAAGGGAAGGACGTGAAAGAGGTGACTGTGGCTTTCGGCGGGAACGGCACGGCTTTGGCAGCACAAGAGCACCAGGACGTTGTTGTCAGCGGAGAAGGTGGAGCCGATTGTGCCGCTGGCAGGCCTGGTGGAGATGGGTTATGGCATCTCCTGGAACAATAAGGGGTGTGTGGTGAAGCACCCGGTGAAGGGGGGACATCAACATAGAGATGCCCAATGGTGCCGGGGAAGGAAGCACTTCGACTCATTGGGGACTTGGAGCAGTTCCACTTGAACAGGGCAAGGATTTCCTCGGTGGAGTCCACGATGATGGAACGGTCCAGAAGTCCCGGTGGCGGTCTGGGAGATCCTTGGGAGCGGCTTGGAAATGGTGGATCTGGAGGCGAAGCTCAAGCAGGACTTCCATAAAGTCCTTCCATGGTTCGTCGCCGTTGGCCAGCGCAGCAGAGAGAGGAGCCTCCAGATGCAGGTTGCGAGCGACGTTGCTTCCGCGAAGGAGCTCCCAAGTTGTGAAGCCCGCCCAGGCCGGCGCGTTAACAACTCCGCTGCCGGAAAGCTGCAGGGCGGCGAGCTCTGCGAGGATTGCGTCGAGGGCGCTCTGGAGCGTGGTCTCGCTGGCTGAGAGCGCGGCGTTCGTGGCGTACGAGGCCAGCAGCGACGTGTCGGCCTT